TGAAGGGAGAAATTGACGCACGGGGACTTCTCGGTACGCCACTCCGAAATCCTTGAGTGACCCTACATTGGCCGACCCCCTGATCCCAATCACCTCCTCTAAGGTGTCGTACGGAGGCCCAGCGACTGCCAGGAGCTGCAGGAATCCAACATCCGTCAGTCTGAAATGTCAATCAGAAGCAGTGCCAAGACCTGTTCATTCAGTTCGTCCTGTTCCCTACCTCATGCCCAGGCCTCAGAAGCGCAAACAGCGCACAGGCAATGGCGTGGGTACCGGAGAAAAACTGGGCACCAGTGGAACAGTGGTCAATTAGTTGATTCATCAGAGAGGAGAGGAACCCAGTTAAAGTTGTGTGTGGAGGTGGAACCTGGGGGCGCACAATGGCAGCCTCCGCTCCAACGATGTCGGCGAAGACGGAGTCCAGCGCCTCCCGCCCGCCACCGTCGTCGTGGCCGTACCCCGTGGACCCGCCAAAATGCTGAAACAAACGCACGCAACGCACGTGACTCCGTGTTCACAAGCGGAGTGAGCTCGGACGCCAAGCAGAGAAAGCTGTAGCTGTAGTAGGGGTGAAACCAAGGGGAGAGGAGTTACGTGCGGGGCGACGCGCGCGCGGCGGAAGGCGGCGGCGACGCGGGAGGAGTTGAGGGCGATGGCGCGGTCCACGGCGCGGAACTCCGCTTGCAGCGACTCCGCCGCGCGGGACACGTCCGGATGGAACGCCGCGTCGGGCGCCGCCACCGCCACCGCCACCGCGGGACACCGGCCCACGCGCAGGGCGGCCGCGCTCGCGCTTGCGGGGGCGGTGCGAGGCCACGCCCACGCGACGGGGCTGGAGCAGCAGCTGGCGGTGGCCGTCATCGCCGCGCGGCGGGCAGCAAGCGAGCGAGCGAGCGAACCAACCGCCGGCTGGCAGCGCCGGATTTGGCTCGGGCGAGTTATCCCCGTCGGTCGCTTCTCGCTTCGCTCGGTAGCCGTTTGAAATGGGCCCAACATAGTGCCCTCTGGAGTCTGGACAGGCCCATTTGATCATCACCTTGCTTAGGCTCGGCCCAGTATCTGTTGCGTGGGCGTGCACATTTACAAGGCCAGCCACTAATGGCCTTGCAACTTTCAAAACAAATCTACTAATGGTAACGCTTGCAGCATCAGTCATCACGTCCCGTCCCTGTTGCTTATCCCGGGATGCCAAGGCCAAGCAGTGGAAGCAGCGTTGGACACAGCTGGTGGAGAAAACTGGGAAGAAGACGACGCAACCGAAGCACGCTAGTATTGGCGAAACGCGAGCCACAGCCACCGCCATCCGCCGGCCAGTCAGCAAGTGTAGGGAAGCATTGGAGCTAAGCAAAGCAATGTTGAGCATGGCGAGGAACGGCCCTGAAGAAGAAACACCATGCTTGCACGCAAAAGACTAGAGGCCGCTTCACCGTCCGTCCATTCCATTCCACCGGCTATATCACCGTCCCCAAACGCCGCGGCATTCAGTCGCTCGCTCGTCTCTGCCAAGCTCCGCTCCGGCATCGATCAGGCACTGCGAGCAACGCCACTTGTCGTCGTCGATGGCCACCGTCTCGCTCCTGCGAGCCGCGGCGCTCGGGCTGGTGGTTCTCTCGTCGGCGCTGCCAGCGGCGCGGTCGTGGAGCAAAGAGGGTCACATGCTCACATGCCAAATCGCACAGGTAAAAATCGGATCGTTTCACGCCCATTTCTCATTTTCTCATCTAGGATAGTTGATGAACAGAGGACCTCGCGCGCCTTTGACTTGCAGGATCTGCTGGAGCCTGACGCGGCGCACGCCGTGAGGAACCTGCTCCCGGACGATGTGGGCGGCGACCTGTCGGCGCTGTGCGTGTGGCCGGACCAGGTCAGGCACTGGTACAAGTACAGCTGGACAGGCCCGCTGCACTTCATCGACACCCCTGACAAGGCCTGCAGCTTCGACTACTCGAGTAAGCTCTTCAATTCCAAGCCGACCGTGCAGTTCAATGTCCGTTTATGGATTGCTCGAATCTCTCGATGTGTTGTGATGTGAAACGCAATGGAATGGTGTTGGTGGTGAGCAGGGGACTGCCACGGCCCCGACGGCGCCAAGGACATGTGCGTCGCCGGCGCCATCGCCAATTTCACGTCCCAGCTGCTGCACTACAAGCACGGCAGCGCCGACCGGAGATGTAAGCGAAGCAATGCTGCTGGTGGTGTCAACCAAATGTTCTGTTCGTATCTCTGTGTTTTGTAACCGTACCACTGTCTTGTTGCAACGCAGACAACCTGACTGAAGCCCTTCTGTTCCTGTCACACTTCATGGGAGATGTTCATCAGGTAACCTAACCTGCCTAATTACTTGTTGCCAGTTACCACGAATACATACCATGCCATGCTTAGCTCATACTATAAGTGACTGACATGGCTTAATTATTTCCTGTGTTGTTTGCTTGCAGCCGATGCATGTTGGATTCACCAGCGACCAAGGCGGCAATTCCATAGAGCTGCGCTGGTTCCGGCACAAATCCAACCTCCATCACGTAACTAACGAGCTCTCCGGCTCTCCCCCACGATCCTCATTGCATTGCACACGATTCCATCAGTGGGATTAGCCTAATCATCCCGCACTGTTGAATTAATGTTGTCCGATGGATTGTTTCCAGGTGTGGGACAGGGAGATCATACAGACTGCTCTCGCCGATTTCTACGGCAATGACATGGACGCCTTCGGCAAGCAACTCGAGCACAACCTCACCAAGGCAAGTGAAGGGAACCGGAAGTCCGCTCCGGCCGGGACTATCTATCTAATCCTTCGTCCAATCCAAGCAAAGAAACATGCCAATGCCATTACTCTAAATTCTCGACAACGTACGTGTTCTTCGCAGGGTACCTGGTCTGACGACGTGCCGGCTTGGACAGACTGCGAAGACCTCTCGTCTTGCCCAACCAAGTTAGCAACAACAACCCATTCTGAAACTATGGATTCCTTAGTTAACTCTTTTGGATTGTGCCTACTAAACAGCGCAAGCAAACGCCAGTACAGTCGGTCTGGCTGTGCGCTTTGCACCCTGCCGGTCAGAATTCGAACCCCCTCGAGGACAGATTTGTTGGCCGGAGGAGACGTAGTTTATCTGCGCGTTGAAAAAATCTCCTTGTCTATCCCACGCCAAAGTATAGGTCTAAAGGCTAGCCCAGTCTCATGAGAGCTACGGTGCCGCTGTGTATGTGTGGTGCAGAGGTTCGAGGGTTTTCTCGACCTGTGTAAGAAGGTCTTCTTTTTAAGCATGATGCCTGGGCTGTTGGGCTGTCTTACCCCACGGGTCTGAGGTGTTTTTTTTTGTTTGCCGACTAAACAGCCATTTACCAACTTTCGGATGCAAATACGCAATGCAACAGGTACGCGACCGAGAGCATAGGCCTGGCGTGCAAGTGGGCGTACAGCGGCGTCCGTGAAGGGGAAACACTGTCCGGTAAGTTAGTTAATTTGGGCACACAGACAACCACCGTGTATCTCTCTGAATCAAACAGCCAAGACCTGCTGACGGATAGATAATCCATTTTGTCACCTGGACTGGAATCGCCTGCAGACGACTACTTCGACTCGAGGCTCCCGATCGTGTCGCGGCGGATCGCGCAGGGCGGGGTGCGGCTGGCCATGTTCCTCAACAGGATCTTCGGCGCGCACAACCGCGACGTGCCGCCGCCGTCTTGATGGACCCGGCCCCGGACCCGATCGCGCGCGACGCGACGCGGCTACTTTGTAACCTTAAGTTAACCTGATCGACTCCTGCTGCGTCAGTCTAATCCATGTTAAACACGTCGTGTGCTAATTACCTGCTGTCATATGATTATTGATTTAAGTCTGATCTGAAGAAAATTGCACGTGGACAGCAACTTGTGCAGTGCAGATATTGATTGATGGCCCTGTATCTTGACTCCTGTTGTATGTCCTTAAATGTGTGTCGTTATGATTTATGTGCAGTGCAGATATTGATTGATGGCCCTGTATCCTGACTCCCGTTGTGTCTAATCTCTGTCCGTCTATAAACCTATATATGTTCCTAAATGTGTGCCATCACGGTTTACGTGTTGATAAGTATAACTCGATTTATAAAAAATACATGTAACATTTGTGTCTCTAAATAAATTTGTTAAAAACTAGATTCAAATATCTATCCATTGATGCTAATTATGTACCATAAATATTAATATTTTTAATATATATTTAGTCAAAGTTGTTTTTAAGTGAAAATAACAAATATTTAGGGACAGAGGAAGTATAAAACACTATAATAATAAAATAAAAAAACTAGAAGTGAATCGCACGAGCGGCACGCAGTCCCGGCCTGGTGGCGTCTCTTCCTGCAGCGGGTCCAATGTCCGATCGTCAGCCCTCTGCTGCCTGTCTCGTTGCCATCGCATCGCTATTGGTTAATCGGCTCGGATTTTGTGTTCACCGACGGGGGCGGGGGCGGGGGCGGATCGAAATCGGAGACGAACCGAATTTGGAGACGGTTGCACGTGGGTGGGGTGGGATATAAGAAAGGGGAGGGACACCCACGCCATGGAGCTCTTCGATCCCGTATGTCCTACTTGTCCAAGAAAGGAGCCTCACATCTCGAGACGCATCTCCATATCCAGAGACGAGAGAGCACCGAGCCGGCGACGGCTTAGGGTAGGGTAGGGGAGGCGTGCGCTTGTTGCTGGTGTCTGTTCTGCATGGTGGCGGTGGAGAAAGAGGATCCGGAGCAGGTTCGCGCTGCGTAGATTCTCGTCAACCTCCGGTACAGGAAGCTTCGGAGGCGGCTGGAGTGGGTCCCGATGCAGCCGTCGGGTGAGGCCTCCTCTTTGACACCCGGGACTGTGGCGGCGGCGAAGGTGATGCCGCCGTCGGGTGAGGCCTCTTCTTTGGCCGGGACTGTGGCGGCGGCGGTACCGCTCCGGAGGCGGCCGGAGCGGGTCTCGAAGGAGTGGGGTGTGGAGGCGTCTTTCTCTTTGGCCGGGTTGTGGCGGCGGGGATGTTGGAGCGGTGGCCAAAGGCTAAGAGATCGGGGTCGCGTGGCGAGACGTCCAAGGAGCTGTCGGAGCAGGGCCATGCCACCGTCACTGCCAAGGGATCCGGCGTGCCGCGGTCCAGCGAGCAGGAAAGGTGCGCCGAGATGCCAGCGACATCGGCACAACATCGGTCGGTGGTGGCGGCGTTATGCTACGCCGCAGTGGCCGGGTCCGAGACCAGCCCATCGACTAGCGCCGTGCCTGCGAAGGAGCCCATGAAGACGTCGAGCCCAAATACCCCGCTGGACTACGGCGTCGGTGGGTCCGGCGCGCCGTCGAGCGCGGACGACGCGGCGCTGGTGCGGTCGTAGGCAAAGTGGAAGGGCACTAGAGCCCGGGGATCTATCGGCGGTGACGACGACGAGGGGTGCAGCTCGCCGGCGAAGCGTGGGCCAGTGGCCCAAGAGGAGAAGCCGATGTCGATCTCGGTTGAACCAAATATGCAAAGCGAAACACGTTCGTCCAGCGGCAAGGGCGCACCACTCCCGTTCCCGTTCAACCTCAACCTGCTTCCATGCCCACTGGACGAGAACACCACCTGCTCTCGAGTTCAGTTTTGCTGACAACAAGTTGGCTTTTTTTTTGAGAGGGACATAAAGTCGTTATTAGGATCTAGTTCGTACTCCGTAGGTGGTGAGTTCTATCGAGTCTTACAAGTTATATGTTTTATATAACATTTGTAGTATGTGTTAGGCTGATCTCTCCACTAAGATTGGCCCAACGACCAATTTGGGTCTAGATCTCGCGCCCTGATCGAGGGCGCCCAACCCTACAAGTTGGTGGGCCCCCATCGCACTGCGCTATATAAAGAGGTGGGGGCCAGCGGCTCGCAGTACGAGGTGAACCGCAGCCACAGTACCCCACAGACACAACCCTAACCGATCAAGGGTGCGCAGCAGCGGCGGGAAGCACCACCACCATTCTTCACCGCCTCGCCGTCGCCAGGACGTCTACGCCATCGTTGGACTCCACTGCTACCCCTACACCGACACCCGTTCACCTACACTGACGCTATGGCGTGCTCCTCCGCCAAGCCCACCGATGATATGTGCCTCTATCTCTCTCTTCTTCTCTCTCTCTAGTTCTCTTTCTAGTCAATCTAGGTTGTTTTATCCTGAATAGAAGAGGTTCCACCCGCTAGATCTATGACTAGTTGATCCTGTTGTTATAACAATGGTATCAATCGCCTCACTGGTGTGTAGATCTAGTCTTTGGGGTAGAAATTCGAAGAGTGGCGCCACCACATCCTCCCGTCGCGTGCTCGCTGGTCGCCGGTGTCGGCTCCGGCGAGGTGCTGCGACGTTGAGGGAAATGGGGGAAGGAAGAAATGACTTAGGGTTCGGGGAGGAGGCCGGTCGCGATGGGTTTTGTTCCGCCGAGCAGCGCGGACGACTGTCAGATCGGATTCGACGGCTGGCGGCGGTCGGGCCACTTTAGGCCCAAGAGGGATGGAGACATCCCGGCCCAGGACCTTGCGGCCTGGGTGCGGGGAGTGCGCCACGTGCGGCTAGGCCATGGCCTTTTTCGCTGCTAGGCCACGTGCTGTGTTACTGCTAGCCCGTATGAACAGTACTGCTTAAGAATTAATTTTATTCTTTTTCAAAAGCAATTTTGATGATTTTGTCTAGTTTTTAATCTCTAATCAAATTTGAACCAACGGAATAATTTATTTAGATAGTAGATGAGTAGCTGAGATGCTTCTGATCAAAAATTATTATTTTTCAAGTTTTTTCATGTTTCCGCTGCAATGAATATATTAATCCTCTAATTAAAGTGGAACCAAAGGAAAATATTTTAATTAGAGGAGTAGTCCTATTTGTCTAAGTTAAATTATGATATTGTTATTTTTCTGACCAACGTTGATGATAACAATATTATAAGTTTATTTATGAGTTTTCCATGCATTAATACTATTTCTGCCCAACGGTAATGTAGAATTAATGTAGAAGAATGTTGTATTTATGATATTTCTATTTTCTAACTAAAGTTGATGATAGCAATATTATAATTTTTTTCATGAGATTTTATACATTAATTCTATTTCTGTCCAACGGTGAGTAGAATTAGTGTAGAAGAATGTTGTATGTTTTAATTTTGACCAATGTTAAGACATGCAATTATTATGTTAAATATTTCTCATTTTCTCTAACGTTGTTTTCAGGCTACAACCCAATGACGTTTATCTCGTCCATTCTGCCTCTCAATAGGAGCAACTATAACACATGGCGAGAGAAGCTTGAGATAGCACTTGCGCTCTCTGACAATGATCTAGCACTTATCTCTCCGTGTCTCACTGAACTAGTGGACCCGGTGAGGGAAGCAAATGAGACTGATGCAGCTTTCGCTACTCGGCAGCGTGGCCATGCAGAAGTGAGAATGAAGTACGATCTTGATCGTGTGAAGTGGGATAGTTCAAACCGCAAGTGTTTGATGGTGATTAAGGGCTCCATTGAGGATCTAATAAGGGGATCAATCCCAGAATGTACCAACGCAACTGAGTATCTTAAGAAGGTGAAGTCCGTTTACTGGCTCTTCAAAGGCTTATGCAAGCACTCTTATTAAGAAGTTAGTTAATGAGAAATACTCTGGTGGAGGGATTAGAGAGCACATATTGAAGATGAGCAACACGACATCTAAGCTCAAGCCAATGGACTTGGGACTCAAGTATGAGTTCCTAATTCATTTGATTTTTGCTTCTTTGCCCAAAGAGTATGATACTTTTGTTGTGAACTACAACTTACAGCCAGATAAGTGAAACATTGAGAAGCTCATTGCAATATGTGTGCAAGAAGAGGAGAGGCTTAAGATCTCATGTGGTGACTTAGCTAACCATGTGAAGGAATACAAAAGGAGGAACTTTAACAACAAGAAAGACAAACCACAAGGAAAACCTCAGTGGGACAATAGCTCCTCCTCTGAGTCACAAGGAAAGGCACCACAAAAAGATCACCGTCAGAAAATCCAACTATGTTCAAGTAGACAAGGTCACCTGCAAATGGTGCAAGAAGACTAGACACTATCAGAAGGATTGTCCAGATTTCCTAAAGCACATGATGAGAAAATATGGGGACATTATTACATTCATAGATGAGTCTTTGTATTATAGTTATGCAAAATCTACTTGGTGGATTGATTCAAGTGCTACTATTTATGTTGCAAATTTATTACAGGGATTCCATACGAGGAGGACCCTGCAAAGAGGAGAAAGACACATTAAGTGGCAAATAGAGTCCAAGCTGAAGTTGAAGCCATTGGAGAACTCCCATTAAAATTAAATGATGGCTTTGTACTTAAGCTTACAGATGTCCTTTATGTATCCTCTTTGCATAGAAGCTTAATAAGTGTTTCACATTTAGACGATGATGGATTTGATTGCCATTTTGGTAATGGCAAATGTGAGATAATGTTTAATCATAAGTGTGTTGGTCTTGCCTTCTGACAAGACGAGCTTTATTTATTATCGCTTTCTGAGAATGTGAATGCTGTGAGCACTAAGAATGAGAATGCCTCCTCGTCTATGAATGCAAGAAATAAGCGGAAGAGAGTTCATGATGTATCATCGAATTATGGCACTGTCGTTTAGGCGATATTTCAAGGGGGAGAATAGAACGATTGATTAAGAAATCAATTCTTCTGCCATTAGAATTTTCAGACTTAGAACAATGTATTGATTGCATTAAAGAAAAGTATGTTAAGAAAATAAAGAAAGACGTCAAACGAAGTGCGGGAATTTTAAAAATAATTCACATAGATATCTGTGGTCCTTTTCCTGTGAAAAGTGTGAATGGTTATGATTCATTTATAACATTCACAAATGATTATTCTCGTTATGTCTATATTTATCCAATTAATGAAAGATCATAAGCATTGGATAAATTTAAGATATTTAAGGCTGAAGTAGAAAATCAGCATAATTTAAAGATTATGATAGTAAGATCCGATCATGGGGGGAGTACTACGGTCGACATACCCCATATGGCCAAGTTCCTGCACCTTTTGCAAAGTTCTTACAGGAAAATGGCATAGTTGCCTAGTACTCTACATCGAGCGAGCCTCAGCAGAATGGAGTAGCTTAAAGACACAACCGTACCTTAATGGATATGGCGAGAAGTATGAAAAGTTACTCTATTTTACCGATAAGTTTATGAATGGAGGCGTTAAAAACCGCCATTCATATTCTCAATCGAGTACCAAGCAAGTCGGTGCCCAAAATACCATATGAGTTATGGACAGGAAGGGAACCCTCACTTAACCACTTACGTGTGTGGGGCTATCCAGCTGAGGCTAAAGTATTTAACCCAAACATTGGGAAGCTAGACTCTAAGACAGTTAGTTGCCATTTTGTTGGCTATCCAGATAAGTCAAAAGGTTATTGTTTCTACTGTCCTGACAGACATACGAAGTTTGTAGAAATAAGACACGCTGTGTTCTTGGAGAATAATATGGTCAGGGGGAGCATGGTAGCACGGGAAATTAACTTTGAGCAGAAACGGGTATACGTGCCCACTCTGATGGTCTAGAAGCCATTTTTCTCGCTACATGTTGCTGCTGCACTAATAGTACAAGACACTATAGTGACAACACCTGTTGTTAGTTCTAACATGGCAATAATAAATGAACATGAGGAACCTGTCTTTCAGGATTCTATAGAATCCGTTGTCGCACATGAGAAAGAGCAACAACAGCCCCATATGAAGCAAGCACCAACTAATGAGGCCCACAGGAGGTCTCAAAGATCTAGAAAACCAGCCATTCCTGATGACTACAAATTTTATGAATATGAAGAATTTCAAATGGAGGGTGATCCCACCTCATTTGAAGAAGCCATGAGAAGCGCTTACTTATCAAAGTGGCTTGAAGCCATACAAGATGAAATGAGATCAATGAGCACCAATGGTGTTTAGAACTTAGAAAGAATTCCTAAAGGAGTCAAGACAGTAGGATGTAAATGGGTCTACAAAACTAAATATGACTTCAAAAGAAATGTGAAAAGATTTAAAGCGTGACTTGTGACGAAAGGTTTTACGCAAAGAGAAGGAATAGATTATAATGAGATATTTTCTCCAGTCTCATGCAAGGATTCTTTTAGAATAATAATAGCGTTAGTGGTGCACTACGATTTAGAATTACATCATATGGATGTAAAGATGGCTTTCCTTAATGGGAATTTAGATGAAAATGTTTATATGGCACAACCAAAAGGTTTTATCGTGAAAGGAAACGAAAGTAGGGGATGTCGCCTGAAGAAATCCATTTATGGCTTAAAACAAGAATCTAGACCGTGGTATTTAGTGTTTGATGGAACGATAAA